GAGAGAGAGAGAGAGAGAGAGAGAGAGAGAGCTGATTCGTTGATTCTATTAAAAGGCAATGCATTTTTATTGGCAAGATTAGCAACATACATACCATGTAACACATAACAAAAACGGAATCTCCACTAATCGTTTCATCGATGGAAAGCTACAAAGAATTATTCGAAACGGCGATGTTTGAAAACGAAATTCATTAATCAGCTAAACATCTGACCGATGTCGATCTGAGTTTTGCAATTTGATGCAATTACGCATTAAACAAATTTTCTCATAATCCCTAATGTCTAATATCGAAAAAACGTGACTGCATCGAGTGTGCTTGCACTTAGGTTATAGATTCTAACTCTATCGCTACATTGTTTCTAAATATTTTTATCTCCCTCAAAATACGGTAGAAAAATTATAGACACGATTGAGAATATATAATTTTGTTTGTGCAGTAATTGTTCGACGGATTTTGGTTCAATTCGCGGTTACAGATAACTGACGCAGACAACTCTCAAAACACATATCATATTTCGAAACTTTCGAACTTTCGAAATTTCAAAGTGGGAATTTGCAGAAACAAAATTCTCAACTTTTATATTAAGTTCCTAAGATTTGTAAGAAAATTATATTATCTATCTTTTTTAATAACTAACTGAATCTTTTATTTAAATTATATATTTATTTTGGTAAAACAAATTAATTCTATTATTTGATTATTCTAATAATTATAATAATATTTAAATTAATAAACATTAAACTGTAAACATTCGAAATAAAAATCGTATCGTATTTTACAAATTTCTGTAACTTATTATTCCATTCTTGTTTAATTATTTATAATTTCTTCTTTAATTACATGTAATTAATTCGAGATTAAAGATTCTCGTGATGTTTCACGAAGAAAGCTTTCGTGAATCCAGAGTTATTTGCATTAGTCATTATAAGAAACATATGTAATCTTTTTTATATCTTTTTTGTACGCTTTTAGAGCACTAAAATAAATGTTTATCACTTTCATTCTATCTCTTTCGCTCTTTATCTATACGCTCGTTCCTTTTTCTTCCTCATACAAGCGATAAATACAAAGTGTTTCTATTATACTCGACTTGATGAAATGCGATTACAATTACATTCAATATTGTTAAACGAAATGACGTTAAGGATTCGTCGATATTATGATGATGTGCGTTTTAGAAAAAGTTAATAAGTCACGCGACGGTTACAGAGTGCGGCAGGATCTAAATATCGTTGCGATAATTTCCGTTGATACATTACATAATCACAATGCCTAGAAATTTCTCGAATGTCACACAAATTGTTCGAGCTCGAACATTTTTAGACGCTGACAACGCAACGACATTGTTAAGGCATTGTTAAGACTCATGCAAGAATCAATGAGAATTCGCAACGCGGGTGCGGGACGGAAGCGAAAGCTATTACATCTTTTACATTGTTTTACATCGTTTGCTCGTTTTCTCTTTTTGTAATTAATGTTTCTCATTGCGACGTATAAATGTTTCCTGTGTCG